AGATCGGACCAGAGGACAGACAATGGCCTTATTGATGTGAGAAGGACTTTATACTTCTTCCTCTAGATTTGTCTTTTCTAACATATGTGAGTTTCTTGTGTACTTCTGCATATGGGGATTGCTGGGGGTAGAGGAGATTGCTAAAGGAGAGAGTAAAGAAAATAAAACAATTTATGCTTAAGACAATTACTTAAAATATTCATATACTGCCCTTTTTAAAATTAATTTTGTTTTATTTTTCTGATAACACGAGTAATAAATAGGGACTTTCTGCATAAAATTTTGAGCATTTTCTTAATGTTCCTTTTTTCAAAAAAGGTTTTATGGCTTTTATTTTTATTTTATTAGCAGCCTTTGTTCTGAGAAGAAAATGTTCTTGAGTCATCCCACGTTGGGGCTTTGAATACAAGACAAATGTAAAATACTTCCTGCTCTGTTGTCTTCAGTGAAGGACAAACAAAAGTAATCAGCCTGGATCCACCCCTGTTAGATGAAAGCCCAGCTGTGTTCCTGTCCAGACTGGGAGCGGGGAGCTAGGGGCAGGAGGATGCGCTGTACTCTGTGCTGGAGGAGGAACACTGGGGCCTGTTGTGCAGCTGACACTGTGGCGGGGAGGCTGGCGTTAGGGGAGGAAGCCTATGGCTACCTCTAGTACAGGCATTTTCCCTCCAGGGGTGTTGCTGTGCACCCGGAAGTTGAACAGCAAAGTGACCAACCACCTCGGCACTGTCAGGGCTCTGCTGTTGCCCACCCACCTTGGATGCAGTGGCCCCTGGCAAGGAAGAGGACTGCTCCAAGTCCTCTTCACTGCCCAAGAGTGGGGACATCTGTGACAGGTGGTCCCTGCAGAGGGAAGAGATTCTGCTAGGTTTTCCACAGCAATCCAGTGCAAGTGCTGTCCCTGTGCCTGTCCCTCTCGCTCTGCCTCCCCCAGACCCTGTTTGGATCTGGAAGGAGTCCAGTGGTGGGTAAACCAACAGGTATACTCATTGCACCAGCAAAGTGGAGCCACCAGCTCCCCAACCCAGTAAGAGGAATCAAACTCAGCCAGAATTCCACAGTCAGCATCGAGAAAGAGCTATTTTAATTCCAGAATTCCTAAAAGTTACGTTTCACTCTCTAGGTATTATTCTCCATTACCAGTGGGAAGGTCCTCATAATATTTTCAAAGCAAAGAGCCTCTAGGGGTATTAATCTGACCCTGAGCAAATCATCAGTGTCAGCACTATGGGTGATATGTGGTGAGCTGGGAATATCTAGTCCTCACTTATGTCTAAGACTATGTCCATTCCCCTTGCATGTGGGGAGAAGAAAAGAACCCCATATTCTACTTCCAGATCCTTAGTTGGCTGTTTTTATACACTTTGTTGACCCCCTCAGCTGAGACAGGAATAGAGTGATATGACCTTTTTATACATTTTATCCTTTGCTGCCTGCCTTACACCCAGCTGTAGGTTTAGCCATTTACCTTCAGTAAATATATTTTTCTGAAACTTTGCCCTGCCATTGTTCATAGGCCTAACATTTCTTGTACTCTTATGTTGATGACTCCTTAGTACTAAAGAAATTTTCCTGGCCCTGGCTGGTGTGGCTCAGTTGTTGAGCATTTTCCCACGCACCAAAAGGTCATGGGCTCAATTTCTGGTCAGAACACATGCCTGGGTTTCAGGCTTGATCTCCGGTAGGGGGTATGCAGGAGGTAGCCCATCAATGTTTCTCACATCCATCTCTCTCTCTCAAATCAATAAAAACATATTTTTAAAATAAATTATTCTGTATTCTCATGAGTGCGTTTTTCCCATTGTCATGGAACACTGCAGAGGGTTACAATTTACCAGAAGTGATAGCAGGCAGAGCCAACACATTGTGCACTCTCTTCTTAAACTTCCAGAAAATCTGTGTGAGTCTGTAAAGTTAAAACAAAGCAACAAGTAAGAAACATGGCCAGTCTGAAAAAGGCTGCAAAACCTTGAAAGATTCTGGTTCTTAGCCGGAATTTACTGCATGGGAAACCTCAACTAGCCCGTTTTTCCTTGCAGTTACTGGGTTTCAGCTTGCAGGACCATTATAATGTCACCACACAGAGCTCATGCAGGTTAGTTGGAGGAAGCTGCTTAAACCTTGACAATGTCACTCCGCATTTACCACCCTCAATCTTGTACCGGGAAGCCCCTCTTCCCACATTTCCCCTTCATCCTACTTTTCTATACTATCCCCACACATTCCCCTTATGGAACCAAGAAGGGAAAAACCCAAACACTCATCTCTAAAAAAGGTCTTCGAGTTTTCTTACTTGTTGATATTGAAGGGGAAAAAAAAATCAATAGGACACCTCCTCCATCTTTTTAAATCCTACCCTACTACTGAGATTTTACTGATTGCCAACTCTGAAAAGCCTTCAGCGAATACTCAAAAACTCTGTGAACATGACTAGGAGAATTTTGATAGATTAAGAGCAAGTGTTCAGAGTCAAGCCATTCCAGGAATGTTCTGCTTTCTTTCTCTAGGAATATTTCAGTCGAGTTGCCTTTAAGAGACACAATTAGGCTGTGTAACACTTCTGACCCTTGACCTTGAGGATGTGAGATGTTTTTTGGAGTCACTTTCCAGAATGAACCTCTTCTTTAACCACAGCTAACATGGAAAAACTAATCTTTGGATAGCAAACTAATTGTTGGGAAGAAAAAGCTCTAATACCTGTAGTTAATTTATGTTGTTTATTGTAATCTAAGAGAGGCCTGACTAAATGGTGTGTCTGTGTGTGTGTGTGTGTGTGTGTGTGTGTGTGTGTATGTGTGTGTTTAAGAGGAATGGATAGAATGTACCCTCCTCCTTTTTTAAAGGAGGGGTTAAAATAAATTAGAGGAAGATTTATTTCTCACCCAGAAAAGATTAATTTGGGAGACATTTCTTTTGATGCATTGCTCATAATTAAAGTAATTCTTCATATTATGTTTTCTTTAAGTAAAAACTTGTGGCTTTACTTAACCTTCCATCAATTAACTCCCTCAAAGCAAAATAACCTTGAACTCCATAAACACACACACTTAATTCTCGACTGACAGAGAAGGAAGCAATGGCTGCCCCTGCTCTGTAGGGACTCCAGCAATATTGCAGCTCCAAAGCCAGATGCCCTGTGTGCCTCAGCCTCCAGTTTCCTACTTTTATTGACAGGGTTTTGACTTTGAAATCCTGCCTTCCACATTTTACCAATGAACAAAGCCATATAATTCTATAAAAATTATGCTGGCATGGCTCAGTGGTTGAACGTTGACCTGTGAACCAGGAGGTCACGGTTCAATTCCTGGTCAGGGCACATGCCCAGGTTCCAGGCTCGATCCTCAATGTGGGGCATCTGATCAATGATTGTCTCTCATCATTGATGTTTATATATCTCTCTCCCTCTCTCTTCCTCTCAGAAAGAAATAAAATATATTTTTTAAAAATATGCTGGTAGAAGTGTTTGCAGAGGATCATTCTTCATTCAACAACTATGTTTTAATCTTTTTTATGTGAGGCACTGAGGACATGATAGTGAGCAAAATGAGCTTGGTGGCTTCTTTCATGGGGATCATAATATGGTAGGGAAGAGAAAATTAAGCAAATATTTAAAAATCATTACACATAGTAAAACAGCTAATTTACAAAGAAAATACTGAATGCTATGAGAGTGCCTTATTAGGGAACTTCCTTTTCCTTCCTTCCTTCCTTCCTTCCTTCCTTCCTTCCTTCCTTCCTTCCTTCCTTCCTTCCTTCCTTCCTTTCTCTCTCTCTCTCTCTCTCTCTCTCTCTCTCTCTCTCTCTCTCTCTCTTTCTTTCTTTCTTTCTTTCTTTCTCACTTATTTATTTATCTATAGGACAAGGAAGTGTTTAGGGAATTTTGTCAAATAGGAAAAGTCTTTCCTGAAATGTCTTAACTAATTTCAAAAGGATGACTGGTATGTTCATACAGTGGAATTCAAGATAGCGATTAAAAAAGAATGAGCAAGAACAGCATGTATCAAATCCAGAGACCAAGGATTCCAGCCTCTGGCTTTCAGATTGAGTGGGTGCTAACAGGAAGAGCGGAGCTTTTGTGAGTATCTGGCCACTTTACAAGGGCTGCCCTTGCCTTCAAAACGGATTCTGATGTGAGAGGTTCATGGGTACATTTTAGCCACAGGAAAGACAGGGGAGGAAAAAGACATTCTTATCCCTGAGCTACTTTTTAAGTTTAGACATACAACAGAAGTTCTGAATGCTACACATGTAATTTATGGGCACTAAAAGGAGACAACCAAAATTTCCCCATTCTCTAGCTTTCTTTTATGTACTTCAATGCAAAAGGCTGGAAATGGCACAGCTTGGTCTGTCCTCATAGGGGTGATTATCTCATCGATTCCTCCCCTCCTCAGCTTTGCTCGCTGTGGTGCTTTCATTGCCTGGGCCCAGAGAACGCAACCATAGGGCCCAGGAGAGCCACCTGTTTTCATTCATTTGATGTGTTATAATTTAAAGTATTATTAAAAGAAGAAAGCTAAACTCATGTTCTATGTTTATTAAAAGAACATGATTGAAACCAGATATAAATATTTTATTAGTATGTTGTCTTACTCTACTAATAACTGCATGTTTCTAATGTTAGCCATTAGTACACCCCCCAAATTAGGTAATAATTGTTGTTACTACTTATTAGGTAAAAAACTCAACTTGAGATCATAAATGTGATTATAATGTTAGGTCATCATATTTTGATTAATCTATGTCCCCAACTAGATACTAAACCCTTAGATGGCAGTCCCAGCCCAGCATGTACCAACCACAGTTGACATAATGAACCATCATAGATGATTTTGAAAACATAGAAAATATTCTTTGTGATAGTAAAGGGCAATAAATAAAAAGCTGTTTTGTAAGATAAAATAAACACAGTGGCAGGTAAAAATTAAGACTACATTTTTTCTAAATTTGGGAGATATGACTGTAATAACAGTAGGATGTTTATTTCTTTTTTCTTTTTTTAAAATATAGAATGCTTAATAATTTGTATAACATCCTTGCACAGGGGCCATGCTAACCTTCCTTGTATCATTTGAATTTTAGTCTATGTGCTGCCAAATGAGTACAGTAGGGCCTTTAGTTCAACTCAGTGCCAGGAATAGAATGGGCCATCAGTAAATGCATTTTTAAAGGATAAAGATGCTTTGTATACTGATACCCACTTGGCTTAAGGCTTAGTACATTCTCATCACCCCATTTAGTTTTATTTTGGGCCACAATAAGTTGTAGATACACTGATCCTGTCAAAAAATTAATTATAACATAAATAATGGAAACAGAAGACCTGAGCACTTTTCCAAGCTCTGAGTGAAGGAGCTTAGAGGTTAAAGGATAGTGAAGGGCTCAAAGGCAGAACCGGGCTGGCTCACAGCAGACGTCTTCCATGTCTTTCCCTTTCCCTCTTCTCTTGCTTTCTCTCCGGAGTGACTAGTCCAAAAATCGAGAAAATTTCCACGTATAAAAAAGAAGCTAATCCTGTTTGGATCCAAATATCTTTAAAACTGCAAGCTAAGCAGATCTGAGCTTTGCTAAATCAGTCTACATGTCAGCCATTAAATATTGGCCATAAACTTATAACCAGGTAAGAAATGTAGACTAGAAGGGACAATTTAAGGAAAAGTTGGTCAATGGCTTTTGCTGTCATAGTCAAGGACAAAGTGGGTGGTGAATAGATTTGAAGCAACCCTTGTCCGAGATTGTGAAAATGGACAAGCCATTCATGTTTTGGGGAAAATGTCACTTGGCATCTGGCCATGGTAATTTTGGTCTCAATCATACCAGACTTCAATCAGAGTGAGTAACTTCCCTGTAGAATTTGATGTCTGTAAAGCAATCAGAGCTATTTGTCTGATGGACATACGCTAGAGGAAGATGGGCCAATCTACTCCAAGTATCTCACAAAGACTCTGTCACCTTTACTTCCCTCACGGTTTGAGTTTGCAGGTTTCTACCTGTCTATGTTCATAATAACACAGTGAAAGAACAGCTCAAGTTCTTAAAAAAGGAATAAAATCGCTTGAATGTAATCTTGACTTTATGTGAATATTTCTTTTCAACCAAATAGCTTCCTTGCTGATCTGTCCTCCAACTGACATAGTTGACAGCAAAGAAAGTCTTCCAGTTTCAACACGTCTGCCTGCTCACTTCTGCCTTTCAGCCTGCGGTTTGTCTTGACACAACGAACAAACTCCAAGCAGTTCAGAAAATAAGAGATGTGTTTGGGAGAGACAAGTATGAAAACTGCTATTTATTTTAAAATGGCAGGTTGAGAGTTCGCATCTTTTGTGTTTGAGAGAGACTCATCAATCCAGGGTGCAGAAGAAACATTATTTGGTATAATTGCTATCCTTATTTCACAGAGCCAATAAAAATGTCCTCATTTCAAAATTTAGTATTTTGATAATTAAAAGTTCTTTACCTAAGCAAATGAGCTTGTCTTAAGAAGGAAAAGAAATTAACCTGGTAATGACATCCATATCTTTTCGGTTCATTTACACGTGTAATGTGAAGGATTACCATCTCTTTAACTCTAGTGGGGCTCAGGTACTTTAGAGATCTTTACATACTGATATTCTCCACTCTATTTCCTCTTAAAGTATTTATCAGAAGACACTGGCTTGTTAATTAAGCTCCTCTTTCTCCTCTATGCCCTAGAGTGGGATTCTCAAAGGAAGTCCAAGTACTCCCTGCATTTGAATAAGCTGCAAAATTTATTAGAATGCAATAATTTATTACAAATGCCAATTCCTGGGTTAACTGAAGACATGTTATAGTGCAATGAGACAGTAAACCAAGGAGGAAAATGTAAAATCTAGCAAACAGATGACCCAGGCCAGGCGAAGACTGAGCTCTAATTCATTCTTAGAGCAGGATAATGGAAGTCTTGGGAAAGGTATCAGAGGAAAAACAGAGATTTAATACTACTCTTGAGATAGTAAAATAATTTAGGATACAGAAAGGGCAGGCCATGTAAGAAAAAAAGAAAAGCAATTAGGAATTCTAAGAAAACAAATAAACCAGGTAAGAAACTAAGTATAATAATCATAGTATACTACTTGGCATTGCAATGGATACTATTTATATGTCACCAGAATGCAAATGGTGGTTAATGACTTAAGCTTTAATAGACAATCTATCGAGAGAGTGTTATACAATTGTTAGGAACACAAGCCCTAAAATTTTTACTGGCTTTTTGAGTCCAGAAATTTACTTAATTTCTATGTTACTCAATTTTCTTTCTGTAAGATAGAAATAATAATCGTTACCTATTTTATAGTCTTATTGTGGAGGTTAAATAAGTTACTTTACACAAAGCACTTGTAACAGCGATACACATAGAAAGTTCCCATATAAAAAACAGAAGTATCATTTTGTTTTGATACAGAACAAAAATGAAATGTTATTAAATTTGACAATATAAATGTATAAGTCCAGATGGCTGAAAGTGGGGAAGAATAGTGAAATGTAGTCAAAAGATACTATTTATAGTTGATAGAAACATAAATAAGTAACAAAAAAGGCAACTAAAAGAAAAACAAAATTTAGCAATGTAATTGTGTAAATGGGTTAAATCATAATTCATCATAGCAGGAAGCTAATAATGGATGGTGGCTGCAATTTATAAATCAAAAGCTAGCATTCAAGCTTATAATATAGAGATATAGGAGGGAAAAACAGAATAGCCAAAAGAAAAAAAAAGTGGTTCTCTTGAAGGATCAAGAAAGATAAATACATTAACCTATAAATATCTTAAAATTTGGCAATTATATCTCAACAAAGCTGAACAAAAGGAAGGTAAAGGGGTTCACAGTGGATGGTGGTAGCAAAAGATTATAGACAAGAAATAAAATTAAAGCTATGATATCTAGAATTCATGCTCAGAATTTCAGGAAACTTTGAGAGCTTGGGAAATATGAAAATCATAGGGAAAGAATGCCAATTTCTGGGCAAAATTAGATCATTCAAAATTATCTAATAAAGATCATAAGAGAAAAAAATAGTGTTTACTTTTATTGATGAAGTCAAGCAAAAAGCACAGTACATGTCAAAAAAAAGTGAGGCATAATGCCAATCACTCTTTTTCCCCCCACAACCCTTGAAATCATCAAGCATGGTTTGGAGAAGTGTTGGACTACTGATTTCACGCTCTTTGGGAGTAGCTTTTGCTGTCTAGTCTGCTCTTCTCCTTCTGGTCTATTTCCTGGCTGTTCCTGAAGATTTTTGCATTAGATTTCCATTCCTGTGTTCCCAAAAGATGAGCAATTGACAGTCAGTCCTGGAAACCTGATCTTCATCCTGAATCTCTGCTCAAAAGCCACTACAGATGGGTGATATGAACACTCCTCTTTTATTAAGAAAACTAGAGGCCTGGTGCACAAATTCATGCACAGGTGGGGTCCTGCTGGCCCAGCCCTGATCGACCCCAACTGGGGCTGTGCCAACTGCGGGGGAGGGGCCGCGGGAGGTTGGCCGGCCAGCCCCCCCCCTGATCAAGCTGGTTGGCCAGCCACAGCGCGCGTCATAGCAACCAGTCATTCTGGTTGTTCTGGTCATTCCGGTTGTTCTGGTCTTTCTGGTTGTTCGGCTTTTATATATATAGGTGTGTAATGTACACTTAAAATAGCAATGCTTGCTCTGGTGAATTTCATCAATGCATCTTAATCTAGACCTCACAGAACATGTATGTTTTGGCTGTTTGATTTCTTTATTCTTTGGTGAGTATTTAAGACTTTAAAATTCATAATCTTATTAAGTTGTTTGCATAGATTAGAGGCATCAATGATGAAAATACTTCATTTGCCAAAGATAACCAGAGTTTCCCAGAAACTGTAAGAAAACCTCACCCTGGCAGCTTTTGTTGGATTTCTAGGAACCATATTCATATGTGTGTGTGTGTGTGTGTGTGTGTGTGTGTGTGTGTGTGTGTTCAAGAGATTGACTGAGAAGTGTTGCCTGTTGAAAACAAAAAATTTCTGCCACTCTTGGTACAGGATGGTTCATATAAAATTTCTAGCTTTAATGAAAGGTAAGAATGTAAAATAATATAAAGAACATTTGGAAGTAATCTCATCAGTGGCTTATAGCTCCATTCTCATTTCTTTACAATTACATGAAGTTACCCCATAGTCCCTTTCTTTTCTTTCCATCACATAGGATTTAGCTGGCCTTCATGCTTAGGGGGAACATGTGACTTCAAAAAGTGTACGAAGGAAGTATTTGCTCCTGATGACCTTCCACTGCCTGCTTTAGGTTGGTAGTTCCTATTCTGGGGATGCAGCTCTTGTTGGTAGTTCCTATTCTGGGGATGAAGCTCTTTTCAGAAGCAGAAAACTCAGGTTGGAGAAGAGAGCTACAAAGGCTGCCACAAGCATGTTCATAATGAAGAACAAGGAGGCAATGTGGCTGCAGCTTAGCAGGGGAGAGAGTCCCAGGAAGTGAGGCTAGAGAGTTACACAGAATGGGGAGGTAAGGGGGATAGATTTTGTAGGGCCTGGGAGGCTTTGAAGGACTTTGAAGGACCTTCACTTTGGGAAAAATAGGAGGATATTGGAAAATTTTAGAAGACTATGAGGTGTTTAAAGTTTCACTCTGTCCGCTCTTTGAGAGTAAGTCATATTGAGTAAGAGTGAGGCAGGGAGGCCAAAATAAGGCTGCTTCAATAAACTAGGCCATAGATGATGGTTGCTTGAACCAGGAAGGTGGTGGTAAAGGAAACGAAAAGTATTAGATTCTGGATCTATTTCAAAGATAGAAGCAATAGGATATCTTGATCATTTGAATATTGGGGTATAAGAGAAAGAGAGGAGTCAAGGGTGACTCCAAGATCATGGCCTGAGCAACTGGAAGGATGGAATTGCCATTTACTGATGGACATGCATATCTTCATGTAGAGCAGGTTGGTTTAGGGAGATTAGAAGCTCAGTGTAGGAAATATCAAATTTGAGAAATCTGTTGCAAATACAAACAGAAAGTTGATATGAGCAACTGTGAAGTAAATGTCTAACTTTTTAATATTTATCACAAAAAGGGAGTTCACACAGATTAAATAGCACCAGATAAATTTATA